CTCAGGGATGTGTTTTGGGTCTGTATCCTGGCCCCTTGTTTCTCCTGCTTTATCTTGCTTCTTTGTGTGGACTGTGATGTTCTGTTGTCTCCAAGGCATTGTGTTTTTGTGTTTATGTTTAATTGGTGATTGTATGTTGGAGTGACTTGCCCACGATTTTCATTTTCTTTGTTTTATTTGTATGTTATCTACGCAAGCATGGTGCTGTGCTGCTCTATTTGCTAGTTGACAGCACTTGTACACTCACCACCTGTCTCCTTTCCTGTTGTCTGCCTCTCGTATGTCCCTGCTGACCTCGGCAAATAGAGCCTATTCTTAGGTCCCTGGAATCCAAATAAGAATGCTATCACTTTAAAATTCAAAATGGTTGCCACTTGTAAAGATTCAAAATGGCTGCGCCCTTGGTCACTTTAAATATTCAAAATGGCCACTGCTTGTAAACATTCAAAATGGCCACTGCTTGTAAACATTCAAAATGGCTGCCACTTATAAACAATCAAATTGGCTGCAGCCTCTGGACAGTGGAAAGTCAACAGCTCAGGTTGTCTCCCTCCTTGCTATTTCCCTTCCTAGTCATAGGCCACCAATGCAGTCATTCCTGCAGTCCTTGGTGACCAGGGCTGATCTTTAGGTCAATTCTCAAGTCTCAACACCACTTGGAAATATTCAGGCCATTGGTCCCGTCAAAGTAGCTGACAGTCCACAGCTCCAACCGTGTCTGGACTCACTGTTTTCGTCCAGGTTTTTCCACTAGTTGGTGCCTAATCCACTTCTGTATAGTTCCTTTCAAAGCTCTGGGCTCTAGGATTATCTTCTGTACCTCTGTCAACTGGCTTTTCTTTTCTTTGTTGAAGAGAGTCTGTGTTGCTTGTTTGTCTATTCCTGCATCTTTGAGATATTCTTTTAAATACCAACTTAGACATTTTTAATCCCCCTGCAAAAAGGGCAAGGAGGCCACAGCTTCTGACCTCCTCTAACTGCACAAGAGGAAGACAGAATCACTATCAGTAGCCCAAGGCCTATTCTTGCAAGGCCAGACATGCTGCCTTCCCTCCAGCCCACCCACCACCTCTCTCCTGGGTTCGATAATTCGCTGCAGTGGCCACATAGAATTCACAGATTACGGGGTTTATTAGGGAAGCACCAGGCTACAATTCAAGTTCAGGAAAAATGCTCAGTCTCTCTCGTAGCCCACCGTCTCTCAGCCCACAGTCTCTCTCCCAGCAGTGCATGTCCCTCGGTATCTCACTCAGCAATGCGTGTCTCTTGTGTCTCTTTTCCAGCAGCGTGTGTCTCTCAGGAGCACGTGTCTCTTTCAGCAGCATGTCTTCCTCAACCAGCAGTCAGAGAGAGTTCTGCCTCTAGGAGGCCTCCTTTTGAGCCTGGCAGAGTGGCTAAACTAGCCAATTATAACATCAGAATTCTAAGCACCTGAGAGACAGCCCAGAACATTGCTTTGTGCCATGCCCAACAGAAGTACCCCAGGTTGATAACTTTTACAATCAGGAGCTCCTCAGTTGCTCACAGCAAATTCCACCATGGAGTTTACAAAGACTTATGGCTAGAAAAGCCATACCAGGTAATTTACTACACTGCACCCCCCCAATGCAACTAATAATGGTTATGTCATTAATCATTTTGTGTACATATTGTTGAAAAAAACTACCATATGGTAAAGATTTTAGCATTTCAGTTAAGTACAACAATTCAGATTCCTACTCATTTGGAGATATTTATGGGTTGCTTAATATGAGATAAAAATAAATGGCAATATACCTGTTCAAAATGGAGACTGTTTATTACTGAGTTCACAGAAACCTGTTTTTTATTGCTCTAGGAAATAACTATACTACTGCCCAAATATCCAACAATCTGTAAATTGTGGATATAAATTCTGCTTAAATATATACAATAAAAACTCTAAGACTTCAAGAAGAAAACATAAGCCTTTGCAACCCTTTGAAACCCTGGGTTAGTCAAAGGTTTCTTAGATGAGAAACCAAAACACTATCTATAAAAGAACAAACTAATAAATTGGATTTTATCAAAATTGAAAACTGGTCTTCAAAAGACACTGTTAAGAAATTAAAAAGACCAAGCCACAGACTGGGAGAAAATACTTGCAAATCATGTATTTGATAAAGGACTTGTATCCAGAGTATTTACAGAACTCTCAAAATTCAATAAAAAGAAAGAAAATAACTCCATAAAAATGGGCAAAAGATGTAGACACTTCATAAAAGCCATATAGATTGC